TCCGTCTTGGAGCCGGCTGGCATTGGCTCTGTTGGAGAGAGGGGAAGCTTCTAGCAGCTACTCGCAGAAGCCAGCCCTGTAGCCCCCTCGCTACAAAACCTTGCCGCACAAACCCAATATGCTCCATTGCTAGGTAATTTTGAGCTGGAACTTGGCAAGCTTTTTCTAAGAAGTCTAGTAATGTACATCTGTATAATGGACAGGTAGTGCACGTAATGCATACACGTGTAATGCATAGCAGGAGACTGAATTAGCTATCCCAGCAGCTCTCTATGCCTCTGGTTATGTGCCCTTCAGAAAGTCAGATTAGTGCATGTGCTATTGTACCTCATTATTTAATTCCCTGTACAATTAGAACTTTGTTAGATATCCTTCATTTATGCCTTTGTACTTTTGTTTTCTTGCAAAGCTTTTTTTGGTTTTTTACTCTTTCACTGATACATGCTCTATTCAGAGCATGTCTGGTTCAAAAGACCTAATGAAATGACTGTTTTCATCTCACTCTCACGTAGGACAGTCATTAAACTAATCTCTCTTTTTTTTTTTTTAAGATCACTCAGCTTGCATTCCTATTGCTTTCATTTACTTGCCATTTATTCCTTGTGAGCAAACATTGATGTTGCTTGAAAGGAGGCTTGCATCTTTACTTCCTTCCAGTAACACTTTTGCAGAGCAAATTCTGCTTGTACTAAAGTCTGGTAAAATGTGCCATGTTGGTTGGTGAAAACAATTCACAGCTAGCCAAATAATCATATTCAAGATTTTTATTTATTACTTGTGAATTTATAGAAATATCTTATTTTCCTCCTGTGAAAGTATCTTATTTTCTACTGGGATTATGTCTATGCATATGGGAGAAATGTAAGTCATCCTGGGGTTCATAGAGTGTTCCTGTGAAATACATTCTCTAATTAATATAGAATCATATTTTACTAATTAATATTAATAAAATACAGGGTGGCATATAGTGGAAGGAACCGTTGAAAACTGTAGCTGAAAAGATTAATGTGCTCTGTGTTTAAGAGCTCTGTTCATGGGCAGTTTGATATCCGTGTTTCTCTCTTTGTACAGCTGTTCTGCATGACATAAGAGAAGGAAAAATATTTTTTTAAATTGGTATATGGCTGAAATTCAAATTGCTGAGTAACCTTTTAAAGAAGTTCTGAATCTTTAAGTTACTTGTCCTTTTACCGTTTTTTTTAGGAAAAAATGCAGTTTTTGATTGTACTCTAGTCTCCTTTTTTACATTTAAAGAAAATATTGATCTGCTTAAAAAACCCAGCAAAATAAAACACACACCCCCCGCAACAGCAACAAAAACCTCTCACCAAATCTCTAGGTTTAAGATCCATAAATATTTTGTGGCTAATGAAGTAATTAATGAAAATTTGCCAGTGGAGTAAGTAAAAGTACATAGGGACTAAACAACCATCTCCTGTGGTTTCTGTTTGCAAGAGCAAGACTACATTGCAAGATCCTTAAATAATAAGAATTGAAATGGCTTTAGTGACTAGCAAGGAGAGAAAATATCTGCTAGCTGTATATGTTGTTATATGTTATTGATTCCTGTTTTCTTTTCTTGCATTGTTGATTAAAAATAACTAGAGTTAGGCTGTGTATCTCTGAATATATGGCAGCATCTAAGTGAGAATTATGTTATTAAGCTACATGGGCAAATTCTTGGAAGCTTTATTAGTCAGTCATTAAGTATATGATCCTATTTTAGTTTTTTTTCACTCAGTGCACATAGTAGATGAACTTCATTTATTGCAGAGCTTTTCAGTATGCTCAGACACAGCTCTGATGGCAGAACTAGTATTTGTGTGCGTCTGCTTTCTTTTTTTTCTCCTATGGTACTGATCATTGTGCTGGTATAGTACTCCATAAATGACTTATTTCACAATGAACTTTTAAGTCGGATAGTGTTAATTCCATTTAATAGATGGCAGTCAGAGGGTTAAGAAGTCTATAATTGAGTTGCTTGAGCTGAATCACCTGTGGAGCATTTTCATTTTTTTTTCCCCAGATATGGGTTTTTCTTAGAAGTGGGAGTAGACCAAGTTAGAAATCCCAGCTCTGCCGTGCTGGGGTGCTAGACCTTCTTGAAGTAAACATCACTTTGAATTTGACTTCAGTGAAGTAGTGTACTTTTTACTGTGCTTGTTCTTGGAAATGGTGGAACTGTTTGGCTGACAGAAATTTCAGACTGAAGTACTGTAGGCTGCAAGAAGTAACATTTGAGCACCTCAGAGTAGTCCAGTAATATACAGTCTTGGCTATTTTACAAGCATAATTATCAGATTGTTTAAATAAACATCTTTTCCTCACTTGCTATTGTTTAAGTAATTTATTACTTGGCCTGTTTTTACTTAGTGTTTAATACATTTTTTTCCTTCATTTATATAGGAACAATTGGACGTAGCACTCTCCAAAATATGCAAGAACTTTGATATCTGTCATTATACAAAGGTTCAACAAGCTTACAGGCTGCTTGGAAAAACACAGGTTAGTACTCATCTTTTGAGTAAGTCACAAAGAACAGTGGTGTAACAGCGTGAAGCTTTGAGTACTGTGATGGAAATTTATTTTCCTAATTGTTGTGGTTTAACCCCAGCTGGCAACTGCGCCCCATGCAGCTGCTTGCTCCCTTCCCCTGGTGGGATGGGGGTGAGAATTGGAAGAGTAAAAGTGAGAAAACTTGTGGGTTGAGATAGAGACAGCTTAATAGGTAAAGCAAAAGCCACACACGCAAGCAAAGCAAAACAAGGAATTCATTCTCTACTTCCCATCGGCAGGCAGGTGTTCAGCCATCTCCAGGAAAGCAGGGCTCCATCACGCGTAACCGTTACTTGGGAAGACAAACACCGTCACTCTGAACATCCCCCCCTTCCTTCTTCTTCCCTCAGCTTTCTATGCTGAGCATGACGTCATATGGTATAGGATATCCCTTTGGTCAGTTGGGGTCAGCTGTCCCAGCTGTGTCCCCTCCCGACTTCTTGTGCACCCCCGGCCTCCTCACTGGTGGGGTGAGAAGCAGCAAAGGCCTTGACTCTGCGTAAGCACTGCTTGGCAGTAATGAAAACATCTCTGTATTATCAACGCTGTTTTCAGCACAAGTCCAAAACATAGCCCAATACTAGCTTCTGTGAAGAAAATTAATTCTGTCCCAGCCAAAACCAGCACACTAATGCTGATGAATCTTGCTGAGTATACAAAGGCTTTTATAATGCTCAGATAACAATACTTGCTAAAGGTAAACTGTCTATTACTGTGACATGTAGCATTTTGGACATGGTATAACTGTAACAGTTCCGTATTTCAGCACTGTTTATAATGGTATTTGCATTATTACTTGTATTTGGGCATGTGAGTACTATTTTTCATAGCTAGGGCCATGTTACTGAGTTGTGTACAACCTGTACCTTGTATGTGTGAGTTCCCATTTTATATTGTATTTTGAGTGTGACAGGAATGAAGATGTGAGGAGATTTTTTTTTGGCAACAAAATATGACACATGAAATATCAAACCTATACTGTGGACATGTCCTAAAGTTACATCTCCATGTGCCTAAGAGCCTTTCTTTATGTAAATAGGAGTAGGTCTAAACTCTGTGATAGGATGTCATTCTCTTCTGTTCGTGCACTGCCTTGAGGCTTAGGATGGTTTCTCTGGGAAGGCAGTGAACCTGTTTCCTTCTGAAGCAGATATGAAGTGTGGGAGCTAGTACCAAGCTCCTGTGAAATAAAGGGAGGTAAGGAGATGAGAAAGTCCTGGAAGCATCTTCCATCAGTGATCAGTGTTCATAACAAAGTGAGGCTAAACATGGTGGTGCCAGTGTAGCAATGATGTTTTGCTTAGATAAGAGATTCCTCCAGAAAGCTTTAATTGCTAAGGATCACATCAAAGTGCCTGTCCCCTGATGAAGACAGGATGAGAACCCCATTCCTTCTTTATTATGCTTGGGGTTCTTTTTAATGTTGTTTCGCAGTATTCAGAAGCATGTCTGACATTAGAATGCCTTTTTTGGGTTTGTTTTTAAATTTCTGTTTGGTTTTTGTTTCTCTCTAATGAGAACCTTTCTAGCAAAGTTGCGTTCTTTTTCCATGGCTTGACTATGGTAACAGTGTAACTCTGCAATAGGATAGAAACGGATTTCTCTTCCCATACTTTGACAATGTGCAGAATTATTGGAGTGCCTAAAGACTGCATCTTAAAATCAGGGGAGAAGCCTAATTAGACTTTTTCTTTGTTAGTGCATTGTATGCAATTTCTTTGTTTACTGAACAAAAGTAGATACAATGCATTCACTGCTCCAGAGTCTAATGCATGATATGTTGAGAAAGGCAGACTTTTTTGTTCAAGAGAAATGAAGTTTCTGAACAAAACAAGTGTTACTTGTTACTGCACAGTTTTGCCTGCTCAGTTCTCATGAAAGAATGACTTGGTTTTGACATTCTTTTTATTGCTATTAAAGTATGTATTTTGAACTTGTCCTGAAAAGAATTTAATTGCATCATTATTGAAATATCTCCTATTTGACCCCTCCTCATTAAACAAAATGACAAGAACCTTCAGTGTCTTCAGTATTTTCCATGTTTTCATTTGTCATTCTGTTTTCTTTGACTAATTCAAGTTAGGAGTAGCTGTAGAAGATGGGTTATTTGCAATAGGAGTGAAGCAGAACTGCTTGTTCATTTCTTATGGGAGTAATTAGGTTCTCAGCTCTTGTCAGTAGCTGAGAATGTCAAATAGCAAATAGTGAAACTGACCGTTTTCAAATCTGCAGGATCTGAGAACGTCATTCTGGCTCATCAAATAAATTTTATCAATTCTTATATACCATATATACCGATTATTAGCATATCTTGAAACAGTGAGAAAATTCAGTGTCTGAAATGGACTAACGTTATGTACAGTTTATTAACAAAGGATCAGAGAAACAGCCTGACCTGAAACTCAGGCATGATTATGGCAAAACTTGTATGCTATATAGTCATCAGTGTTTAGTACATACACTGGTATTTTTTTCTGAAAAAAGTAAGTTTTGTTAACAAAAGTCACTTTATTTTTATTGCAAAGAGGGTTTTTGTAAGAGGTTTATTGATGTGATGTGCATGCCTTTCTGTAACACTTAATCCTACTTTATATTCTTCAAGGAAGAACTCAGTTCGTCAAGTAGATGGATTGAAGACTTTGTAATTGTGGTTTTAGTTTTATTAATTGCAAGGGAAATATTTTTATTTTAGTTGGAAGTGTTTCCAGTGGGAAAAATAGCACTGATCTCAACTCATTTCTTTTTGACACATTTATCAATGATTGGGAGGGTAAATGAATGAATGAGTAAATTCTATAATTAAATATATTCTATACATGTGAAATTAATATTTGCTGGTGATAATGTCAAAAAAATGATGAGTTATAGAGGGAAGATGGCAGGGGAAACCGATTTTACTGGTAATACCTGAACTCTTCTATGTTACCATATTGTAATATTGCCAAGACCTATGTTAGGTATTTTTGAAACAAAGATTGGAGGCCATGCTTACAATCTCCTGTGTTCAGTACTGAAAAAGACTACACTAAAAGACTATGGCATATGACAAATTGAGTTTTAATACTTGATGTTATGTTATTCCTTTTCTTTCAGACAGCAATGGACCAGTTACATATGCACTTCACTCAAGCCATTCACAACACTGTGTTTCAAGTAGTCCTTGGATATGTGGAGCTGTGTGCAGGAAACACAGACACCAAGTTTCAGAAGTTACAGTACAAAGACCTCTGTACAGTATGTGGTTCTTGCATATATGTGTATTTTTTTATTCTGAATTTTTCCACTGATGAAAGTGTACCTTATGTAAGTAGGGAGTCGGTTATTAAAATAACTATAAATAGCTACTATAGTTTCTTAATGCAACTCATAGGCTAATTGAGAGATTGGTTATTCACGACTTAATGCTGGTTTTAATTGCACTAAATCTTAGCACTTTGGAGTTAGTGTACACACCATCTAAATGTAAAGTAGTAAATCATAGGGTACAAAGAGGAGATCAATATTTCAAAATTCCCATGTCTTCAGTGTAGTATGCTAGTTACTGGAATCACTATTAGGTTTGAACTTTATTTCAGTGCATTTCGGCAGTATTCACCATTTCTGTAATACTGCATTTCAGTAAGGATTCTTGTAAAGGTGTTAACTTAATGGAGTCTTCCCTTTACTCCTAACTTTGTATCAGATTCATTGCACTTTTGGTATCAAGATAAGGGACAGCTGTAATATTGAGATACAAAAGCCTGATGTTAGGCAGGTCATAGACTGGACATAACTGTATTTGCCTCTCGTATAGATTTTAGATGCAGTTTCTTGCGTGTTGTCGTGGTTCAAGCCCGGTCGGCAACCAAGCACCACACAGCCACTCGCTCACCCTCCCCTCTGCCCGGAAGAGCAAAAGTTAGAAAACATGTGGGTTGAGATAAGACCAGTTTAATAATTGAAATAATAATGATAATGATAATAATGATAATAATAATAATACTTTAATGAAAAGGAAAACAACAGAGAGAGAGAGAGAGAAACAAAACCAAGCAAAAACAAGTGATGTGACCGCTCACCACCCGCTGACTGATGCCCATCCCATCCCCGAGCAGCGATCACTGCCCCCCAGCCAACTTCCCCCAGTTTATATGCTGAGCATGATGTCATATGGTATGGCATAGCCCTTTGGCCAGTTGGGGTCAGCTGTCTTGGCTGTGCCCTCTCTCAGCTTCTTGTGCACCGGGCAGAGCATGGCAAGCTGAAAAAGTCCTTGACCAGTGTAAGCACTGCTTAGCAACAACCAAAACATCAGTGTGCTGTCAACATTATTCTCTTACTAAATGCGAAACACATCATTATGCCAGCTACTAGGAAGAAAATTAACTCTGTCCCAGCTGAAACCAGGACATGTTTTTTTTTTATATTCTTGGTATATTTTGTTTATTTTTTTAAAATGTTATTAGACTGAATTACTCTCTTTTGAGTAGTATTTTTAGTTCACTCTTTAATTCTTCCGCTTGTGATCTTACTGTTACACCCTGAGAAGTTTTTTTAAACTTCAGTGGTGGGGAGAGAGAGTGTGTGATATTTTAGGTGGTTGTAATATTGATTTAAAACTTGAAATTTTGTCTCTATCTTGGAAGTTCTTAATTTGTTTCAGTCACAGGCTAAGCCCTCATCATAATTCATCAACTCAAGGACCCACCCCTTCAGTTGCGATTTATTAAATCAAAGTACAGTCACAAGGAGATAAAAGTTCATTTTCTGATCCACTTTCTGCTCTTTCACTTCTCAGATCTCCTGGGATTGTGTAGCTTCCACTAGTCAGCAACACATCTACACTGAAAACCATTTCATGGTGAAGAGGTGCCCCTTTGACTTAGAAGTCTTACATAATCTAAGGCCCTTCATATGAGTGAAAGTGGATTATGAAAAATTAATTTATTGGGAGTGACATAAGTATTAATGAACAGAATGAGTAAGGTTCCAGATAGGTTGTATTTGCAGTTCACTGAGATGAACTCTAGTTGAAGAAAGCCAGCAAACCGTGATCTCTGTTCTCCAGACTGCAGCCCTTTCATACTTCTGCTTTAAGTCTTCAGAGGGTGTTTTCATTTTCATTTCTTAGTTTCAAATGCACTTTTCTTCTGAGTTTTTTTGCTTTATACTTCTATATGCCCTTTAGTATTATTTCTCATTCTTTGCTAATATTTATGATACTAAGCCCATTTATTTACATTTACAAACAGTACTACTGAGCTCCTCCTGGCATCTTCTACAGTACAGATTGTGTGCTGCTGTTAATCCTTATTCTCTACAGTGCAGAAGGATCTTTCAGATCACTGGAAATACCGTATTTTGTAACACAGAAAGAGTGCCTTTAACTGTGTGGTTACAAAATTATTACCTCATTATTTCTATTTGTTTTTCCTTCTGCAGCACCCTCATGAGATGCTTCTTTAGTTATGTGAGCCTGCAATAGCTGGAATCTGTCAGTCTGTATAAAGGAAGGTACCTAAACTTTAGGACTATAATGTACTATGAATTCTGCAGTAATTTCCTTGAAATTTATTGATTTAGAAAAAAAAAATTTCATTACTCTCTTCGTAACAATTAGGTATTTAGGGACAGGCTGCAGATGGGAAATTTTGGTCTCTGTTACAAACCGTGCTGTTCAGTGTTGGTTGTTGCCTGTTGCAGTGCATTTTTTGAAAATCAGAGCGCTGAATAAGCTGGGCTATCACAGCAATTCCATTTCTAGCTTCTCATGGAAAAAATACCGACAGATTTTCATCTTGTGTATGCAGTTGTCAGGGAATAAATTGTTTAAGACTAAAATATGAGCCTTCTTTCTCAAGCTCTGGTTCCAGTGAGAACCCTCTTCAACCTGTCTACACTGTTAAGCCAGGATGCTCATAACATGTAAGTGGTTATGGAGTGCTTACTGTAATTAAACAATGGAAGTCATACAAAATTGAAGTCTTCCTTTTTGAGCAGTTCTCCTGTTGTGTGTTTCTAAAAATCTTTCTAAATGAACTCATTTAGCTCATTTCCATTTTACGTGAGTAGTGAGGGACTATGGTGAGGTTTTTGTCTTTGTTTTAATTTTTTTTTGTTTGTTTCTTTTCTGGAAGTCAGATAATGGATTTTATAATAATGTGGGTTTTTTTAAAAGAATAATGTTTTCAATAATTCTTAGCCATTTACGTAAGTTACGTGCCTGTGCACTCTGCATCACTATTTCCTTGTTAAGCATTTCTTTTCCTAGTGATATGCCATGCTCTAACTCTTCCTCCTTTTGAATACTACTGGAGCAGGGGAGAATAAGGCTGCTTCATCTTGAAGTTTTGATTTTCTTTATTCTAGCATAAGTTCAAAAAAAATTCAGTTGTTTATTTCCTTAGTCTAGATGGAATTATCTTGGTATTTAGAAAGTGATCCTTTCTTCCTGGCCACCTGGAAGCCAACATGTCTTCAAGTATAGTGATCTGCACAACCAAAGTTTAGATTTTACAGCTACTAAAAGCCCTGAAATAGAGTAAAAGTAACATTTTTCTGATGAGTTGGCTGAAAAAATTACTGAAACAGTTGTTGAAATGGCAGAGCAACTTACTGTTTAAATGATAAACTTACTACCCTATTTTGTTCCATCGTTAGCAAAGGCCTTTAGTATCTGAGATTAAAGTGTCTCAATAATGCAGGCAGTAATGTATATCAACTCTCCAATTAAAGGGTGTTTTAGGAAAATAGTATTCTCACTTGTTACTTTTTTTTATGCACCAAGAACTTGATTTTTTTCTTTTTTTTGTTGGTGCGTCCAAAATGCCTAATTTATATCCTTGAGGCAGCTCTGGTTTGATAGGGAACAGAACCAAATAATAATTCATTTAAAAAATAGCCAAGCAAACAGAAAAGACATAATGATTAATATGAGGCCTCCAGATACTTTTGCTAGTGACATCTATTAATGCTAATGAACAGTTTTTGTGAGTCCTTAATCATAAGCAGAGTGTAGGAGTATATGGCTTGGATGGTATGTCCATCATACCATGAACATGATTAAATAGAAAGTAAAGACATGTAGTTTGTAATTTTTTTACCTGAAATAGGAGGGGCGTAAGTGATGCATCTGAATTTGTGAAGAAATCTGTCCAGTCTAATGTTTAGTATCCAACAAACATAATATTCAAGCTTATCAAGGTTTTGTTGCAATTCATTGCTCAGGAAGGACACTCAGTGTTTAGAAAGCCACGGTTACATCAGTGGATGAAGATGCAATTCAGAGGGAATTGATTGCTTTGATTAAGGGTTTGCTCTCTGTAGAATCCATGGTTGATTATTTTGGTGGCTATGTCCTATCACTGTTGCAGAAGCTGTTAGTATTTTTTAAGACTTTTATTGTAACTGTAATGCCAAAGCTTTTATATCATCTTGGATATACATTTTTGGGTTAGCATGCAGCACCCGCATGGTAAAAGCTCACTAGCCTTGCGGAAGTCAACTGTGGACACTGAAGTAGCAGTGGGAAAGTATGAACTGTTTTCTACAACAGTGTTAGTTTGAAGTGCTAATTTCCAGACTTCTCTGAGGACCTTTAAATAATAATGTAATGTAAACTGCATTTGTGCAGCTGGACTCTGCCCTTGTTTATAAGTTGTGAGACTGTGCTTCTTCACAGCAAGTGAGACAAGGATAACCTACCATTGCCACTCAAACAAGCAATATATTTTACAGTCTTGTCTTTACCCAGCAAGGCCCCTTCTCAAATTCATCCCTTTACCTGACAGTCTCATCTTAGATATCTGTACTGCGTATTTATCTCTCTGATAAAGTTGATACTCTTCACCTAATGAAGATCTGAAATCACAGTGGCTCTTTGGAGCAGAGTGGATTGGGGAGGTAGGACAGCTGCTATCTAAGTTTGTTTGTTTATTTTTAAACTACTTCTTTATACAGCATTCAATCTAATGGGATATCAGCCAGGATGGCTTCTATGTACTGCTGAAGTACAAGTATCTATATCATTGAACTGACACGGTGTCTGCATGTCACAGGGCTGGCTGCATCCCTCTTTGATGGTGAGATGGTGCTGACCATTAGACTGTGTGCCTTTACTTCCGTATATATGTATACGTGTATATACTTGCTGTTCCATAAATGTAAGAGGTGGTTAATAAATGGACCAATTGAAAAAAAAAAAGGCACTAACAAATAAACTTGGCAGTTTTAGACAGCGTTTCGTTAGCTGACTAAAATCAGGCATTTGTCAGCTCTCAAATACTTTTGCAAAGGAAACTGATATACGCAAGCACCTCAGCTGTATGAATATGGAGGGTTGTGTATGGTTTGTTTTGCCTCTGCAAAAAATGAACACAATTGTTAAGTTTCACAATATTATTTTATTTTTCTGTAGCATATTACATCAGACAGCTACATTCCATGCCTTGCTGATCTCTGCAAAGCCCTCTGGGAAGTCATGCTCAGTTACTACCGAACGATGCAGTGGCATGAGAATCATGACCAAGATGAGGCAGCAGCTGTGTCTTCTGGTAAGAAACTGTTCTGGAAACAAAACTTTTGATATTTGGAAGTAACTTTTCTTATGCTCAAGTTGTTAATTTGTGTGTTGGTACCTTTGTGTTCTTACCTTCAGCATTATTGCTGATGGTATGCAGTAAGTACTTAAATACTCACTGGATTTTTGTAGTCTTCAGTGTAAGGTTCATTTTTTTAATGAATAAGTGTATGTGCCATTATTACAGATATAAACAGTTTTATTTTAAACAGTGCTTATTGTTGAGTTGGAAGTCAGCTGTGGTAGATGACTGAAAAATCTGAGGATTTTTCCCTTTAATATAGGACCAATGTGAAATTTCAGATTTTTTGATTAATGTTGAAATTTTCACTGCATATTAAGCTTAGTAGATTGGGATACTGGGTTGCGTACTAGGAAAGGTGACCAAAGCAACAGGGAATGATTCTGTTGTAAATGCGTCATGATTTTCAGGAAATCCAATTTCCTGATTGTTGTATGTTATCTATACTAGTGAATCCATCATAAGATATGGTCACAATTTCCTTGATAGCCTTACAGGAAAAGGCAAATGTTTCAGCTTAAAATATAATTTTGGCTTTCTTTTCTTTTTGTTCCAATTTGTGGTTTTCAGGACAGAGGTACAAAACCTTCATCTATTGTCTGTCTGAGTCTTCCTAAGTACGTTTTGCTGGACGTATTCTAAATTAATGTAAAATGTCTGAAGGCAGACTTTGTTTCCCCACTCACCCAAGATGCTTTGTTTGGCAGAGGGCAGAGTGTGAAATTTACAATATTAAGATTTATGCAAAACTCCTATTTATTTGGATCAGATAGGATTGCTCTTTTCTTTCTGAAAAGGAGGCTCCTGTCAAAGGACAAGGACTGTAGGATTGCTGCTAAAGTTATTCTTCCTTGCCTGATTTGCATAAGACTTGTATCCTTTATGTTAGATGATAAGAAGGGGAAAAAAATTGGAAGTAGAAGTAAAGAACAGATCTTGGAACACTGTGCTTCCTACAGTGTATTTGAAATCCAACATTTCTTTCAAAAGTCAGATTTATTACAGATTTTAAATGTTAAAAAAGAATGAAATTTATGCTAATTAACATTGTCTTCCTACTTTAAATTTGAAAAATTAATGAAAATATTTTCTTCGGAGTGTCCTTCCCATATTGTGTGGAATCTTAAAAACATTTAGAAAAAAAATAATTGTGGATTTATTGAGACTGTTATTTCAGATTAAAGTTTTTATATCAGAATTAAAATTCAGAGTTGAAATATTGAATTTTGAGATGTACCATGTGAAGAAAGATTCTGAAGTTTTGAATGAATTTCCCATTCTCAATAATATTTACTTTTAAATTTAAAATAACTTCAGATAATTACACTTCCTTCTCACGTTTTCATTTTGTTGTGATCTTTGCATGTGTAAAATAAAGCAGGTTATCATAAAGAGTTTATTGCATGGAAACATTATCACAGTAGACTACTTCTCAGCTCCAGATGTAACTTTAAAAGTAGTTTCCCTTAGTGTGATTACTTGTGATATCCTGAAGAAAGAAAATCATTTGCACTGCAAAACCTTTTAAAGAAACCATTGAGCCTAATAAAGTGGTATATTCAGTCACATGAGTAAATGCATTGCTTTTTAAATGCGTGCCAGAGCGTTTTGGTATGTTTACTACTAATCCACTAAATCTTCTGTCACTCATTTTTTAAGTTTCTGGAGATGTTGTGGCTTAACTGAAATGGACAGCTAGAATATATTTGCGCTACTGAATCACTTTTTCAAATACCTCAGCAATGATAAAGCACACAAAAGAGAATTTCACAAGTATAATTTAATTTCAGAGGGACTATAAATACCTACCAAACATCTGTTTTTTCTAGAAGTCACTGCTCATGCTGTAGTAATTATTAAACCTGTACATGGAAGTCTCATTCCATATTTATCGATTTAATAGCTGTAATGTGTGCTAAAGCCAAAGAATAAAATTCCTGTAGAATGGGCAGGTATGTCAGAAGGAACCATGGAGGCTGTTCAGGAGATTATGCTAAAAGTTTTCCCTCAGTTAAATCCCACAGACTGCTCCTTCTGTTGCTCCAGCCTTAACTGGTGTGTGTGTATCTGGCTTTTATCATTTTGAGAACTCAAAGCTGTCCCCCAGTATATTTCTCTCGTTGTGCAAGTTAATGTCAGCTGTCTTACAAAGTACTTTAAACGGGTCAAGGGCCTCTTGATTTCAGGGCACAAACCCGGCTGTAGAAGTGAGAAGCTGGACTTAGAAGACAAGAATTATACAGCTCTTTCTATTTTAATAGTGAAGCTTATCCAAAAGAAGTCCTGCATGGATTATGGAAAAGAGGTTGCACTTCATCTAGGTCGTGTGTCACATATTTGTGATTATTAATGCCTGTTACAGATGTTAAAATGTACTTTGCATAACTTGTAAATAATTGCCCTTCTGCATTTCTGAGGAAAGAGGAGTCTCTGCTTTATATCTTTAAATATTCTGCTTATTTGTGTTCCGAAAATTAGTCTAGTTTGAAACTGAAGAACAAAATGGAATAGAAAATGCTTTCACAACAGGATTTTTTTTGTTTGGAACGTTTATAGGAGAGAGTCTTTTTTTAGTTTTTTTTCCCTAGAATTGAGTTCAGAATTTGCAGTTGTTCTTTCAGTTATAGTGTGGACTGGTCTTTGGAGATTACTTTTTTTGAGATCAATTAAAAAAATTCTTTCTTGGAATAAACTAAATGAAAACAGATCATTACCTCTAGATACAAATGCAATCCTAAAAATTTTTAACGCATGAGACATATTTTAGTACCTTTCATGAAATAGTAAATACTAATGAGATTTAGTTTGCTGAAGTGTTATAACAGAGTAGCAGTAAATCATAGCGAAATGTATGGTATTGATAGTTCTATGAATCATCAATAATAACACTTAACTAATTGCTCTAATATACCATTGGAAAGATAGAATTAAGTGTTCATACATAGGACTTGTTTAATCATACTGAAGATAAAATTAGTGAACTAAAAGTATCAACTCCGTAGCATGAAATGAGTTCTATGTCATTTAATGAACTGCTGCTTATTCTGTAATTTTGTTGTTCATATAGTAAACAGCAAATTGCTGTAATATGGGTTTTCATCCCTGAAAATAAATGGCTTACTGGAAAATTTTCTGTTGCACTGTCAGTCATGGTCAAAGCATTGTTTGTGTTTGTAGTATAGAATTGAAGAAAAAATGAGTTTTAAAGGGACCTGTGCAGGTCGTTTTGTCTTCCTTGCTCAAAGCAAAGTGAACTTCAAAGTCTCATTGGTTTGTGCGAGGCCCTGTCTGGTTCAGCTGGATTTTCACATGTCATAAAATTTACTGTGATGTTAATGTAATTCACATATATTCCCGAGACACTAATTTAACAGAATAACTGAAACTGAGCAGTAAAATGATCACTATAGCATTTAAACTCCTGATTTCACAAGTGTAATCCTAGTTATAAACAACTCTAATAGCTTAATAGATTCAATGAAATGCAAGAAGAAAATGTTGCAAGAAGTAAATTGAATATCAACCATTTTAATTTTCAAAACATTCCATTTATAATACTGTGTAAATTCTGTGCAAGATCTGCTTGGTATTCAAAGAATGAAGCTAGAGGACAGTGATTTGATTGATTTCTTCCCCCCCTGCTTAGCGAGGATTGAACAGAACCCTTTTGTTATGACTGAAGGTTGCCTTTATGAATTTTGGAGAAATGCTGAGAAACCTGAAAAATTACTGTATTTAAATTAAGCTTCTAGCAGAAGAACTTCTGGATGCTTCTGATTCTCATTTTTATGTGAAATTATGAAAATTTATGTATTCTGCTACCTGTTCCAAATTCTTCAAAGCAAGAAGTGTAAATGATTTTCAAGGAAATTATCCTGAATTCATATGTTTGCATGTATGAAATTAGCTGCAGTACAGTTCATTAAAAGACTGGATACAAGACCTCTTAGCATGACTGGCCATGAACCAGGAGCACCAGGAGATTGCCAGAGAGAATATTGCGTGGATTTTTATTGAACAATAGCATCCGTATGACTCTGTCCAACCATTGCTTCATAAATGGCGGTTTGTGAGGACAAGGACTATGGTCTTAATCTTGAGAACAGGTCAAAGATACTGACTCGTTTAGGCTTGGCTTCGCTCTGCAGAAGTATAGAAGAGAGGAGGTTGCAGAAACTTCTAAAGAGCATGCTGTGACTAAGATAGCTGGTTTTGTTTACTCATATAGTCAGAGAAAGGATAAATCTGTTTAGTGTTTCTCCAGTTGGGTTATTCTTTCTGTTTATGTTTTGCTTAAGCTTCCATGACAAATCACTTTTGAAAATGCGTTTGTCAGAATTATTGCTTTCATGAGAAGAGGAGCGTATTTAGGTACAGTTACTAAATTATAATTTACGTATACAGTAGCTATTTGTTTTATGATTTTTCTTTCATAAGGAAAATTTTCTTTGAGTGCCCTACAACAGTAGATGTAATATGGAATTATGTTTGAGTCTTGTTTTCACATCAAGCAGGCTTTTATCTTCTCATTTTGAGTAATTAGGGTAAATTTTCAGTCTGCCTGCAAAAGCAGTCTCAAAGACTTTAAGCAGGAAAGAGTTGAATACAGCTTTGCAGCCTTGGAAGAAATGAATATCTATCCTTAATATAAGTCCAAATTCCGGAATATATTTTGTTATAATTTTAATTGTGAGGAGGAGTTATTCAATTAAAAGTACCAGAGCTTTTACATTCTGCCTGCCTATACTATTGTACTGGTTCTGTATTCTTGAGGTCTAGCCTCATGGGCAGACTAATTTTAACTTAACTGGCTTGAAGGTTCTTCTGGGTAGTGTTCGTATGTTCACTTTTATAATCCCTAGCTTTCAGATGAAATTCCCTCAGTGTTTGATAAAGATCATAGTTTAATAATGTGTCCAGACATACCAAATAGGTCCACTTGAAAGAAATTAAGCAAGGCCAGTATCCTTCTCAGTAACCATATTCCCCACATTTGCTTAATTTAAATGGAGCTACAGGTGTTGAAGGCTTCATATTTTTGTTGTTCCTATTAAGCTTATATATTATATAAGCATTCATATAATAGGTGATATATTATATGTATTTAGAATAATTTTTTTTTTTTACTTACAAGGGAAATGCAAATAGTTCTTGTTCTCAAGAATCATAGAATCGTTAAGGTTGGAAAAGACCCTTAAGATCATCGAGTCCAGCCGTTAACCTATCACTGCCAAGTCAAGCAACGTACTTTGAAAAAGTTCAAAGCAGAAAACAGGTGGTTGATGGGGAGAAGGAAGATGCATATCATGCTCTTCTACTTACAGAGTCTGGCTTAGGACTGGGAGTATGAGACACTGGTAAGGGCTAATTAGGATTAGTGATTGTTACAGAAGGAAATTCTGCTCACTGGACAGTGAGCACCGATGATCTGAAGAAAATACGGTCAGAACATGGTCAGACTCTGCTGTGGTCTTTTGTATTTCAGTTTAATTGAATTGTCAGTATCTGACACCAGTCATCACCATTCTTGTTCAGTGGATGACTCTTTCTTTCCTGCTCTTAAATATGCAGTAGCCCAGACGATGCTGCAGAGGTCCGTTCTACCCACATCTGAAAAGGCTGGTTGAAGTCTTGTATCCAGCCTCCCATTCCTTACTGGGCTCATTAGGAAGGTGCTCGCAGTATGTACGCGATATTCACCTAGACTGCATGGTCTGGATTCAGGGCAAGGCTTGACATGGAAAGAGCGCTTTTGTTGTTGACAAAAAATTTCTTAGTGCTGGCAAATGGAGGGCAGATATAGGTTCTTTATGGTTCTGGACTCTTCAGTAGACAGAAAAACTAGACATGAAAAATTGCTGCTCTCTTTGAGGAAAGTGAAATTAAGCCAGGAGGCTTTCTGGAAAAAAACTATGAAGCCTCATAATGAAGAACTGCACAGGTCAGTCAGGAGTAGCTCTCACTGTGGTCCTGGTAGTGTGTTACTATCTAAGGAACACTGTTGGGACAGGGATTCAGTACGCAGGTGGCGTTCTTGTCCTTGCTAGTTTTGAACGACTGCGTAAAATCCTGTCCCTGCGTTAATGAGATCAGCTCATGAATGAAAAGCTGCTGGAGCTGCACCTGAGCTGTCTGGCAACATCACGCAGTTTAACAGCTGAATGTGCTTCGCAGCCTTAGTGCTGTCTCCCTGGGTGGAAGCTGCGTGTAATCCCACTGAGGTAGTTCGGTCCGTGGCCTTGGATCACTTCCAAAATTCTTGCTGAGGCTAGAAATAATCCCCCCCACCCCCCCATACGCGTTCCACAAGTTAGGGCTGGCCAAGGCACTACTGCCAGTTGTGGAGGAGCTGTTAAACGTTCTACTCTTTCCTTTACCTTCCTGTTTGCATTATAGCAGTGATGTATCTACCTGGTCATGAAGTCCAGTTAAAAAAAGAGTCCATCTTTCAGGAATGTAATCTAAGTCAATGTTATTAGGTGTGCCCTAGTCTGTTAGACATGTCCTGTTGCTCTCCAGGTAGGCCCAAATTATAGATAGGGATTGTCTTTCCCATGATATCACAAGAAACTTTCTTCCCTGACCCCCAGTTCTCTCTCTGTGTTCCCCTAGGATCTGGGCTTTGTGCTGTCTGTTCCCATGAAGCTTAGGCGGCAGGGATGAGACTGCCTGATGCACGTGCAAAATGAGAGCTTGGGGCTGGGTGGAGGTTTTTGAGAGGAAATGCTGGAATCGGGGAAAGAAATGGCTTTGAGTTGGGAGTCTGTGTGTGGAGGCAGAGAGGTGAGACCAGCTGGGCCAGGAACAAGGGGGTGAATAGTCTTCTCAAGTACTGAAAACTAGTTGGATGTTGCAGAAAAGATGGAAAGGTAGGTCTGAGCTTCATGGCAATGCTGGGGTACTACAGGAAATCTTAATTCTTCTGTGTTTGCAGCCTCTTGAATGATGGGGTAGAAGGAAGGCTGTATGCTTCGTAATATCCCAGTGTAATATTTTATGTGAATTTTTGTCTTTCATGTCAAATCACTAAATGGTTTGGGCTTTAAAGGACGTGCATAGTTTTTCTCCTTGGCAGGAACAGCGGCGTTTTCTTATCATGGGGAAAGTTTGTATGTATAGTCTGGCTGAGACAGAGCTTTCCTGTGGTTAGTCATAGGCTGTGAAGCAAACTGCATGATACTGTGCCATCATAGACTGCAAGCGTAACCACAACTGTACGCTCACAAACTACATATAAAATATTACCTTCTCTTTTTTAAAATGGAAATAAAATATATTTTCTCCATGGGGAGAGAGAGGACCACATACAGGAGAAGTTTACCATGCGTTACAGTGCTTTTTTTGGAAAGTGATCTAGTGCTGTGGGATTGAAGGTTTTAGAATTAAATAAAATAATTTGGAAGAATGAAAGACACCTGATTATAATTGACATTATCTCATGCATAAACATAGATTGGGGGCGGGGGGGAGGAAAGAGCATGCTATATTGTTCGCATAGTTCATGGAAAAAGTTTCAGGATTTTTCCTCAGAGTTGCAGACAGAACTTACTGGGGCAGAAAGTTAAAAATCTTGCTTCTGAAATTTTTAACTTCATGATTCTTGTCTACAAAGATAGAATATCTTAGAGAATCTTGTTGTAGAGAATAAGCAGTATTCACTTCAGTATTCAACTTCATCTTCTGTATTTGAAATATCAGCATCTGTTACTCTCATCTCTCTTTTTGGTTTTTATTGAATGGGGCATCTTGCTTACATAAAATCAATCGGAAGTTCTCTGGGTCTGCATTAGCATACAATATTTATATGTGCTTTATTCATTTCCTTTCAAAAGTTTAGAGCAATGGAGCTCTTCTGGAGTTTGCATAATGGATAATATGATAATGACTAAGGCAGAAGTTTCATTATGGGTAGAAAACGAGAATACGTTTCAAGGCTTTTGGAAATATCTGCAACACTTTTCACCTTCAGTTTCAGATGGCAGCAATGTGATTGGAACTGAAGAGAACAGTTTTGACCGCAGCTATGTAAAAAAGAAATTGGAACATGGGCTTTCACGAATATGGCAGGTATGTTTTCTGATTTTTTTTTTTCCCCTAAATATTTATCTCCCTGCACCCCAGGATTGCTAACAGTTATATTTTACTGATCATCTTAAAGAAATCTCTCCAGGGATTTTTTTAAGTGATTTGTTTTGAGCTAAATATATCAAAACCATGGCAATACAATTTCCGTGACTCGGTTACTACTTGGTTGTTATGCTTACAAACTCGGTCAAGATACTAAAACATACTAACATGACTTTCAGCCTGATTCCGGTTCTCCCAACCTGTGTCCACAATCTATTTTCTTCTCTTGTGCTTATCTCTGTTAGCACAGTCATGCTGCTTTATGTTGCTGGTATAACCATAGATATGGAGAACCTGAAGTCTTGCAAACTTGCCTGGTTTCACAGTGTTCCTGGTCTGACTGCTGGATCAGTTTGATGTGCAGTGAGACCCCAAATGTATGATGAAAAAGCTGTAAATTTTTTACGTGGCTGAATTGTAATCCAAAGCTCTGTTTTTGCAGTGACAATAAAGCATCTAGGATTGACCCTGTGTTATAGAGTTTTAAAGAAACTGATTATAATATGATTTTAGAAAGTCAATGAGAAATCATTCATGTTACAGAAAATGGAGTTCTACTCTAAATCTCAAAAACAAGTTATAACTGCAAACAAACCGAAAAGTGCTAATGAATCAGGCATCTGAGCCTTCACCTTTTTGTCTTTAGTGTATTAAGTATGCAGAAACTTGTTTGTGTTTTGTAGGATGTTCAACTGAAAGTGAAAACATATCTTCTGGGAACAGATCTGTCTAACTTCAAATATGACGACTTCATATTTGTACTTGATGTTATCAGCAGGTATACTGACATGGTCATAAGACCACTTAATACATGTGCACAAACTTGAACTCTGATAAGACAGCACGGTTAATTAAGGCTGATATTTACATTCTGATGCCAACTTTGTTCATATCTACTGATATTTTAAAGAGCACTTCTTTATGTGGGAGTTTATGAGGACGTACTTGGGAGACGTAGCATAAATTGCTTTGCTGCTCAAGTAGTGCTTAAGTACGATACGATTTCAGTATTGTCCACCTTTAAGATTTCAGATGTGCAGATCTGGCAATTTTGATGTTTCTAAAAGCTTTTAAAGGGACTCTCAGTCAAGAGCAGTAAAATACTGTGGTACTGCTAACCTGTACAGTATTATATCCTTCTCTTTTGGTAATAAAATGATGGATTCAGACTGTGAGCTGTACAGCTTGCCCTGCGAAATGGGATCTCAAAAAGACATTTATTTTGCTTATGGCTCTTTGTCTCTATGTGTATGGGACATTATGATAGGATTTGGAGGGAAATGAGACATGGACTTTTGTAAAATGAGTGAAGTGTTTGCAACTTAACATTGGTACTCTGCTTTTATGGAGATACATGTACACTCATGGTAATGAGTGACTCTTGTAATTCAGGTTGGAACAGCAGTATTAATAAATCAATAAATATTTCTAAACTTTGTTTTATTGTTACAGGCTGATGCAAGTTGGAGAAGAATTTTGTGGCAGTAAGTCTGAAGTTTTGCAAGAATCTATCAGAAAACAAAGTGTTAACTATTTCAAAACATACCACAGGTGAGATGCATATGTGCAGTGGATGAATCTAATGGCATTTATTTTTGGTTGGTTTAACTTTTAAATGCTTTCCAAAGGAATTCCATGGCATAATGTTCCTGCATTGAGGTTGACAGTGGCATATGTTTCACGATGAGAATAGGGCTCTGAACCCTGGAGAAAGGGAGAGGGTGGAGAAGCCTTTGCTTCCACTATGCTTGTGGAAAACTCTAGTTCTGCAGCAGGCAAACCAGATAAAGATGAACACTTTTTATGTAGAATTTCCGTAGTTTTTCAGGCTACCTCTTAAGCTGTCTCCTGGGATCCTCAGGATGAATGCCTCTGAAGTCTGTACTTCCCAGCAAAATCACTACTCCTTTTTCTATGGCATTACGTAAAAAGAGCTGATCATGGCGTGGCTATGAAATGTTTTTTTCAATATGCAATTTTGTCTTATATCAAATGAGATGTTTAGAATGAAGTCCATCCTTTTGAGTCATGTTTTCATAGTTTTTCATTGGCAGTATCTGATTATCTTTCAGTCAACTCTGCTGTCATATCTGAGGCGAGTCATATCTGCTGTCATGTGCAGGCAGTCTCTGGCCTCAGATATGATATATGGCTATGACAGCTTCAGGACTTGTCTGTCTGTTTGTTTTAATTGTCTTGATTGCCCAAATGTTTTGGTTTGGATGATTGACAACTCTTTCATTCTAGTTATCTTGCATTTATCTTCTTTCTGGGTGTAAAAAGCTAGGAAGATATGAGAAGAAATACAACGTTCCTTGCTCTAAGAAACTCTTACTTTCCCAGTCTTGATCTGTTGTCCTCTGTTGTATGGGAGCTGTCGTACAACTAATACATCCAAACCTATTTGGTCTGAGACTTTTTGCCTAAAATCCGTAAAGTATGAAAATTATGACAAGAGAACATGAGACAGTGTCTAAATTCAGAAGCTGAGAACGTGGTTTGGAATTTCTTCCAGCTTTTGTAGTTTGTAACTAGGATTTCTTTCTGGGCATTTGATGAAGATATCAGTTCCAGTTGCCTGAAAAGCTTGAGCCTTAATCAGATACACATTATGTCTTGTCAGGAGACGAGTTGATTCAGATGCCATACCACCTATATTTATTTCTTGAAAGCATTTCTGAACCCTGAACTGAATTTTGTGAACTGATTTGGAAACTGAGCTTGCAGCTCTAGGTTCAGAAGAGCTGTTTTGGTCCATCTAACTGTCTTTTACTACACTGATTTACCACATAATACCTTATGTGGTTAAGTAAATGGTTTTGCTTATGTTGAAAGGCCCTGTTTATCAGCTTAGGGAATCAGAGACTGATTTTCTGAAAGGTTAAGGAACATTGATGAAATATATATAGAAATAAACATTTTTTGAAATAACTTGTGTTTTTTATTAAGGTAATGTTTGTTGTAATTCTTGTGAAAATAAAAGGAAATACTTATTCATATGATTCAAATTATGTGAACCTTTTAATATTTTTTACGTGTTTTATGCTGTGTGGGTATTGTCAGGATTAATTGGCTGATGTTTTCATCCTCAGAAGGAAAAATATAAAAAACCTCTCTCCCAGCTATATCCCTTGGGTTGATTTATATAAAAGCTTTAAGCATCTTGCCTTTTCAGATCAAGCTAATGTGGCTTTCACTCCCCTTGCATATTTAATTGGAGGGGGGAAAAAAAAAGCTAGTGCTTTTAAGGATTCATTAGTACGTAAAAGCTACATACATAGAGCTGAAATGCTCAGAGCCCAGGAGTAGTCATTTCTTTGAATGTGTAATTTGACATATGTGGCCTCCTGGGCGTTGTGGTGTTTTAGAGAACTGCCAACATAGAGAAAGCATTCAAAGGAACTGGTCATGTCATTCAAAAAGCGTAGAAGAGCAATGTAATGCTAGAGCGTACATGAAGCCTTTTTTGGGTAAAAGTTGATTATTTTGAAAAATTAGCAGAGAACATAAGTAAGGCAATCTTTGGAATGCAATTTTCTTTTTGTTCTGATACGTTTGTAAAAAGGTGTGTTTGATCACTAAAGCTTGTCAGAGAATGAATGCATCAGACCTTCCATGTGTGCTGCTTTCTAGACTTGTATGCTGGTGAAAATGAAGAGCATTTGTTCAAGAACTTTGTCAGTGCCTGGATTTCAGCTTTGAAATGATACAGAAACTGCTGCTGTGTGGCTTCTAAATGTTTGGTTTTCTATGACTCTTTCTCCTTAGTCTTCCTCTCAAAGAATTTTAATCTGTAACGTTGATTTTCACAGCATCTCTGTCTGTTGTTTCTGTTAGCTTTACTGTAAGAAGATCTGCAAGCTACAGGTACTCAGTGCCTCGAAAATAGCGCTTGAAGTCTATTTGCATTTAACTGGTGAATTTAAATAGACACAGCAAACTGTAGTCATAATTCAACACATTGCTCATCTCGTTGAGGCAAGAAAATTTTAATTGTAGTGGTGATTATAGTTTGTTATTGAAACAGTGGTATTTCTAGAATATTTTACTGCCTAATTAGAAACCCAGTGCATAATTTACCAACTGCTACTTGTTAAGCAAAACAATATACCATAGATTAAGAAGAGAAGATACAGCAACGTGACCTCAATAAGCACTCATTGCTGTGTTTTCCTATATGAGTTCCTGCCCATGTGGCAAAAAGATTTTCTTTATCAAAGGTATTTCTGCTTATGGCTGAACGGAGGCTTTTCTAATGAGTAAAAACATAGCAAAAACAATGCAGGCATGTAATGGCTTGATTACGTTTTCCTAAACACATTTTCTATATTAGTACCAAGGTAACGTTAAGCTATGAAGAAGAATACAGCTTAGGAGATTAATAGCCATTTAACTTTTTTCTTCTCTGAAGAGTTGAGATGGCTGTAGAACATTAGTTCTTTCCACTTCCCTTTGCTACCTGTTGGCTTCAGTGTGTTTGAAAGAAGCATCTATCTTGTGTGGGCTCACAGAAGCTGTTGTACTGCTAATAGAGTGTTTGTATATATTATATTGCTTTCTACAGTTTACATAGAGGAAAAAAGGTCCAGTATTACTGCATAATGATAGATGTTCCTCTATACTTTCTAATGGTTTTGACAAAAAAAATTGTTCCCAAATTTTGGAGATTGACATTCTTTGAGAATTTCTCCAGAGGTGTCATAAAATATACAGTGTTAGTAGCCGCAGCTTTTTTGAGGTCTGTCAGTTGAAAGAATAAGTTAAATACTTGTTTTCAGGTGTGACTTTTTATACATTTTTTGAAGGTGTTTTTCACTGCATAAGTTAAATAATTGTCTACTTCCTGATTTACTCTTGCTGCCAATTAAGAGTATTCATTTGTTGTATTTCAGAACCCGTCTTGAAGAATTAAGAATGTTTTTGGAGAATGAGACCTGGGAACTTTGTCCTGTTAAATCAAGCTTTAGTATTCTGCAGCTTCATGTACGTTTGATGAATAACACATACAAATGTATTAATACTTTAATAGCTAAGAGTCCAGGTGTTCTGAGAAGTAGTAAGATCCATGAACTATGTGCAAATGTTTTTAATAGCTGCTAAAAACCTGTAACTGTCACTTCATGATATTGGAAACTTAAGATTCAAATGTTTTAAAACAGTAGTGTACCTGTTTCAGGCAGGTGGAGGTTTACAGAAGATGCTAGAGTTGTAAGCATAATGTTAGCCTTTATTTTTCATGTTTTAATGTGCTGTTAATATGTCAGTTTTCCACCTCTAGATTATTTATCGGAGAGTAAGATGCTAAAAGATGAGTGCCTAAAAGTAGTCACATGAGCACTCACTAGCTTGTACCAATTTTTGGCATCTGTTTCTGGAAACATAAGTCATACTGGCTCATTTGGAAAGGAAAAAAAAAAAGTTAATTCTTCTGTGGTGAAGTTCAACTGAAAGGAAGTAATTGGTCTGCTCACCTGCTGTCCTAAAGTGATTTTTGTAAAGTTTAGCACGTGGCAGGTGAATTTCACCTGTTTTGCCAAATGAAACATGGACGCCTATGATTAAAGCTATCACTGAAGTGCAAAAATGGACATAGCTGAGCAATCTCAAGCAAAAGATAATATTGCAGCTTCTGTAGAGTTAACTGTAAAAGTAAGCAAGAGTCTACTGCGGCAGTAATAGTGTGGAGGGAAAAGGAAGGAGCATCCAGTAGCAATAGAAATAATGTTTTTAATAGAGAAATGGGATTATAAATTCATACATACTGCTCAAGGGACTGGAGCAGCAGAATATGGCAGAAAGTAACTGATTCATTTAAGCAAACAGAAATCTAACATTGCAGTCCTTTTAGCTGCATATGTTTTGATCTTTAAACCTTTAGATAAATGATAATGTACATTTTGCCATTCATGAAGATCAATAGCTAGAGTTTAACAGATAAAAATGATATATCAACTGAGATAAGGCAAGTTTTTTTATAAAAAAGTCTAAAATCATACCTTATGTGTCCTACTCAGTCCATATATTTGCAAAAGTCTATGCATTTACCAAGTCATCAGAAACTTCATGTGCAATGGGTTTGAAAATTAATAAATTTTGAAGAGAACTTTTTAAAAATAAAATATTAAGAAAAAAAATCAGCTTTAGTAAATTACTAGGTAACTTGTCTAAAGAAAACTACATTTTTGGGTAGAATTTAGGTCTTGTTTTATCTTGTAATTTCTGTGAAATAAAAAACCCACTTAATTTTCACCTAGTTTTAGACAGAGAATACTTTCAGAATGCAGGAGATGTATTGCATGTCATAGCCAAAAATGCTAAAATTAGAAAGACGAGCAGTATAAAGATTGACAATTTCAAAGTTAACTTGAGCCAGCATGAAAATCATGTTTAAATAAGCAGCAAGCTTTGGCTAGAAGTTTTCATATGAGGTTAATTGTCCACAAGTTTGTCGTTATGCTCTGTTTTTTAAGGAACTGGAGTCATAATATTACTGAAACTGTCTTATTGGTGATTAAAATTGTACTTTATTTCTATCAATAGGAATTTAAGTTCATGGAGCAGTCGCGTTCTCCATCTGTGTCACCTAGTAAGCAGCCTGCTTCAGCAATTTCAACAACAGTAACATTATTTGAACAGTACTGTAACGGTGGAAACCCATTTGAAATTCAGGCTGACAGCAAAGATGATGAAACAGAAGATGTGTTAGCTTCCAACGGGGTATGGAATGTTTGGGGGGGGAGGGGGGAGAAGCAAATCTTGCTCTAAGTAAATGATCATTTATTTTGGCAATTTATTACTAGGCAAAATGTCCTAGTACAAGGATCAGGTAACTGCAGTACTGTGTAAAATCTCAAGGCACTTTACTCCTTTAATTAGGTAGGATGCTTTGCAGCCAGAAACAGTGCCAGAAAGCCAGGCATCCTGTTTAAAGTTCAGTTTGTTTTGCCATGGATCAATATTTTTTTCCACTGAAGTCAAGTGTTCCTGAAGGCTAGCAAGACATGCTCCGCTTAAATTAGTATTTTTCCAGGGGTTTACATTAGCTTTCTTTGTGGAAGTAATTTTGTAATTTTAGGACTGGCTTTCTGGCTTCTTAGGAAAGAATCATTGTGGGTTGCTCCTTCTGTTGTATTTGTTCACACCTACGTGATTTGCCATGGATTATCTGATGCTCGTTAGGCAGTTTTTAATTGTAATTTAAATGCTCAGGACACTGGCTTTATGGTGGGATCTACTATGAAACTGAACAATAACTTTGCGTTTTTGTTTTTGTTTTTTTTCAGAATTCTGTCAATATTTAGCAGTGGTCAAATATGTTTTAATGTAAAACTTTGTACCATTCTCTTAAATGCTACATTAACATATTTTTGTTAAAGCTTTTGCTCTTGTTTATCCCTTTGATGAAAATGTTTTCTGGGTTTTTTTTTTGTGATAAAGTTGGGTTTATGTTTTTTGTATAAGGTTAGTTAATCCAGCGATCACACTGATGGCTTTCTGGTTTTCAGCTTTGTCTTTCTTGCTTTCCCTGTGGAACTTCAGTTGCAAAAGCAGCTTGATCTGTATCTCGCACACCTGAGAGTGATGCTGCAGTGTCTTTCCTTCTGTAGGCCATGATGCAGTCTCTTTCCTACTGTGTCACTTGAAGAGAAAATACAGCCTATTGGCATAAAATATTGTTGCATTGTGCTTAAATGAAGCTACTTGGAGGGCCAGTTTCCTGGTAGTAGTTCTTCCCCTGTCAAGTAATACAGCAGAACACGTGTCTTGCCTTTTCGTATCAGTAAACTGAGAAGAGTTGCGTGGTTGTCACTGTTAGACTTATCCATAGACTCCAAATGAGCGTGTTAAGTAAAGATGAATGCACTGCGGGGCATGCTGAAAACTGCAGAATTCCATGGTATTTTGTTGAAACGCACTCTGAGACAAAGCTTTTGGGGAATCTGGGCAGCCATTTGGTAGGTATTTGCTAAAATGATCCTTAGTGGAATAAGGATTAATGATGATACAATAGTACTTTTGAGGTTTTCAAAATGGAAGCTCCCTCTACTGAAGAGTTCATTTCAGACTTTTGTATATGTTTGTGAGTAGTTTTGCTTTTTTAAAAGATTTTTCTGAAGAAAAAGGACTAGAAAATTAACTTAACTTTGGGGTTTTTGTTTGTTTTGTTTTTTTTTTTCCCCAAGACAGCTTTCTTCTGAACGTTTGACTCTGTAACAAATGGATAGAGCCATCATGACCTGCACTGTGAGTGCAGAAATATATCTCAAATATTGCAGGATATTTTTTGCCACCATTTGCATGTAGAATAATTAGGAAAGTGTGAAACTGTTTTCCAAAGATGATATTAACTGGAGCTCCTGAAACTGGATAACATCTCAAGAACAAAAAAGAATAATTGTTGGAATGTGGTTTCAATCTCCTCTGATATCTTGCAGGTTACTGCTAGCAAATAAGTGCATACACTGTCCCCATATTTTTGTGCAGTGACTTGTAAGCAGCTTACACTTGTAGAAGGCTAGAATTGTCTTCATTTCTTGACTGTGGATATCTTGAGGAATTTTTCTTTCTATCTGCATGCTTGTATGAGATATGAAAACTTTGCACACAAGTTAAAACAGAGCTGCTTCGTTCTTCCCAGTTTTAACATTTTGCCCTTCAGAATCTGCTTCTCCTAGCTCAAGTAAAATTTCAATGACGTCAAGTTGCTCTGCACTAAGCTTTTGCTTCTATAATCATGAAATCATTTGATGAAAAAATTAGGTAGCCAATGCTGATGAACATGTTGGAGATACTGTTTTCTTGGCTTTTGCCAGCCTGAAGCATTGTACTGCTGCCAAGCAGACTGCTATCAGTAATACCCTCTTCTGTCTTCAGTTGTATATTATTTTGCCCTTTTCTCCAATGATAAACCTATTCAAAGAAGTAATAGAGCTTAAAAGCAAAAAAAAAAAAAACCCAAAAAATCACTTTAGCTTTCTGTACAAATACAGTGTTTCAAATACAAACTCTGCATGCAGTGACAGTTACACAGGAATTGTCATATTATGTGAGACCAATGGTGGTTCTCTTACAGCATCCAGCTTCTGGTAGTGGTTAGCACAGACACTGCGGGCCCATGAGAGGTAATTGGTCCTGCAAGTCTTACCGGGACACTTGGTAACCTGCATGAGTTACAAAATGTAAATGTGTGGGATGGTTTTCCTCTATTTGTTCCAGAATTCTCTTGAGGAAAAGGCAAAGAGTCTCCCTCTACCCCAGAACCACGTTCTTTATTGTAATGGGGTAATATTGTTATCCAGGAAGTTATCTGGTATCTTTGTTGCCTTCTTACCACAGGGAGTCGATGAATTCGACCATCTAATCATCCTGGGTAAAATGTGTTTTTATTCTGAATTTGTCTCTAGCCACTGGAAAAGTCTCTGTATGTAAAGGTTACTGTTTTCATACTGGTTGTTCGCTGCTGTGTATTTTTTGAAGGTGTGTGAGGCTCAGTCCCAGCCACAGCTGAAGCTACTTAAGAGTAAGCTTAAGAGTAAGTTCGTTAGTAAAGGGTTGCCTCATGCTTTGTACATAGATGCTGCTATTGCTGCAGGGACCATGGCGGAGATGGGGTTCTAGTAAATCACTGTCAGGATGCCGTCTGCCTTCTCTGGTGGGGATGAGAGCGGCTGCCTCAGAGGGTCCGCAGTGGCTGTGGTCTTGGCGAAACAGGCTAGGGGGAGTCGTGATCCCATGAATTATCAGTAGGATGATGTGTTACACGTGTAGCAAAGTCCATGGTGTGGTTTCCCTGTCTCTAATTTTGCACAGTGTCCCATTTGGTAGGCTTGCACACTGTCAGGGACTTTCAAGGCTGGCTGCACTGTCCTCTTTTTCAAAGCTGTGTGCCAATTAAGTGTTCTTATTAATGAAACCTTAATACATTTTAAAGTGATAAAATCTGATTTTTTGCCTGGTGAAGAACTATAATGAATTTTGGTTTTGCTTTGACAGCAGAGGGACAGAATGTTCTGTGCGGAAAAAGTGAAATACCAATGATATGATTTATTATGCATTTTTCTTGTGAAATATAGGTTCGATTTACAGTCATTCATATTATAAAATAGGGGGTTTTTAACTTTAAATGTAGTGATATTTGGAGAACTTAGGAATAATGTATAGAACTAACTTTTTTTAACTAAAATGTAAAGTTAAGTTTCAGTTTGGTCAATGTAATTTAAAATTGATTATGGAGGATGATGCTTTTCACTTTTCGTCCCTCCTTGTGGAAATCAGCTGTGGTGAATATTTCCTTTGTTTGACATGTTTCTAGCAACACTGTATATAAACAGGTTTATTCCATATGATAACTTGAGTTTAATGCATTGGAAAATGGGAACTAACTGCTTTAAATATTGAAAGATGTTAAGTAAATCTGAAGAATCATACTGAGAATGCAGATGAGGGTGTTCAGCAATACTAAGAAGGCACTCACTTGGTTTTCATCAGTGTATTTGGCCGTTAACTCAGTCACTGGCAGGATAAAATCCTTTCCAAAATCTTTGTGTTCCAGGGAAGTATTATGCACATTGACATAGAGAACTGAGGCACAGGACAAGTTAATTAACTTGTCAGTAGTTGCACAGGAGATCTAACCTGGCTGGTATTAGAACCAAGGTTTCTTGTGACCTAAGTGAGTATACTCTCCAGGTGACCATCCTACCTTCCCTTTTCACATTTTTTGTCTCCTCTCTCCATTACCAGCTGTTCCAAAGTGCTGGAGAAAGAACTCTTATTTAAAAAAAAAAAAAAAAAAGTTACGCCTATTTGGTTATCCTTTACATAGAAACAGAAATAACTTGCTTAGGTAAAGTGGGATAAAATTCCTACAAAGGCTTTATGTTTCACTTTCTTGACTGACCAGTTAATGTGGAGGCATGTTTAGCACTTAAAACTGAAAATATTTCAGATGGAGGTTGAAAAATTTTGATTCCAGAGAATGCAGACGTATTTCCAGATATTTGAAGAAATGGCATGACAAGGACATAAGCAATTGATTTACTTGTCAAATCATCTGTAGGGTGGTAAGAACTATGAGGATTTCTTTTGATAATTTTAAAGTCTTTGTAACTGCTTAGTTGTTGCAGTTCTGGACAACTGAAAATGGGCCTCTGGATCCAGTCACCTCAGCTTTATATCTTGAGCTTCAGTGAGGTGCTTTATGTCCCTTTTCTGTAGCTTCCTAAAATATCTTTGTTGCGATACAGTTAACTTACAGTTTTGTAACACTCTTCAACTTTGATGAATCTTACCACTGTCCTATGGGTTTGTTTGGGCTGATTGCCTAAATACTTGTGAACTGATTATTGCTACAAGATATCCTTTCAGCGCTTTAAAATTTTATTGCAGACTGTGCATATTCAAAATGAATTTATAAGGTCTCTTCAGGTTGAGGTCACTATTTAATAGTTATGAGTTACTTACTGCATACTGTAAAATGCAGATATTTTAATCTCATTAAATAACTTCTCCAGCTCATTAATAGCATTGGGTTGAGGAGACTTAATGACGTATTTTTCCATGTTAAAAAAAAAAAATTTCTCAAAATTCTCTTAATCTATGATGTTAAGACAGTTAATATGTCAACTGTCAGATTCATATATCAATTGTAGTTAACAATTTCTAGTCAATTTATCATTTTACTATCATTGGGTTTTAATTGAATGGACATGTCATTTATTATATATTAATGCATAATAAGCGGTGGTAATTCTCCATGCTAATGTTCTAGCCAAGTTAGGTAAACTATGACTCTCTTTGTCCTTAATCGAGCCTGAACTCTGCTCATTTTTGAAGAAAACTGAGCTGCTTTATTATAGCTTTCCTTTTTCGGAAATGTTCATGAGGCAGAAGTTTTGCCTGTGAATACTAGTGATCAGAACATTTCTTTTTAGTCCGTCTCATACTACATTCTTTTTTCTATCTGAGCTGTTTTTGCTTTGAATTGTTTGTACTGTGGGCTTCCTGCTTTTATAAAATACTGCTTTCGTAGTCCTAGGCTTTAAAAACTTCCATAATTTGGGGCTAGGGCCAATAATTGCCATGCATGACTGAAAAAATATATTTCTTAGTGCATTTTGCATGATTAAGAGACTGGCATTACCTTAGTGTATCTTTCTTGGTTTTCCCTTCTGAAGAGTGGTCGTATCCTTTAAAACCCTGCCATTTCTTAAGGATCCTGGAACCAGACTGTCTTTGTCATATGTGTCATTGACTCCTTGGATAAAATGGCTTCAGAGCAGTGTACACGTTAAGGAAAAGTCAAAAGGAAAAGTATTGTGGTCTCTCTTCAAGTTCAAGTGCATTCTGGAGCCTGATGGATATGCTTAATGCTGTGATAGTTGTGTAGGTATTCAGGAAAAAAGGTTCTATCACAGAGCATCAAGTATTTGTTTTCCTTTAATCTTTTCTGGGTTAAGCAACTCATCTTGTGAAAAAATGTTTTTCATTACTTATGAAGTGTCTAAAGCACCTATACTACAGAGCAACCTAGAACACCTGAAAAAGAATTTGACATTAAATACTGCTTTGAATTGGAGTAAGAAAGGATTACAAATTTCAGGGTTGGTTTTCTTTGTTTGTTTGTTTGGTTGGTTTTTTTAAATCCCAATTGTACACTTTTAACATGTATGTGTGGCTTCATAATTATAAAAAGCATTTATTATCTGTGTTTGTGAATAGTATTTCTCCACATAACTCATACCCCAGCAGTAATAATACATGTCTACCATGGAAATCCTGTATCATATTATATATGCTGTAGCCTGTGTTGCTCATTTTTCCCAGGCATCACTTGTTAGGCTCAAACCTTCCATCCTTGAATTGAAAACAATTCTCTTGCGATCTTTGAAATGCAATTCAACCGTTGAACAGAGTGAAACAGTTTCAAAAAATTAAAAATGCAGCTGAGTGTTTGGAGGCAGTAGTTGTCTGTAACTACTTAAGCTTCTTATTTTTCAAAAGATGCAATTAACATCAAATGTTCCTCAGTATAAGAAGGCACATCTCAAGGCAGGTGTTCATGGTTAATTTACCTATGCATTCACATTTTTCATAGAGTTATTCTGGAATAATTTATGGCATTTGTGACAAATGAAGCAAATTGTGCATGAGGGTTTCTTCCATCAAAGAGGAATTTTTTCACTAATAATTAGATAAATATTTCAAATATCAGGATCTTGTGCCTTTAACTAGATAAAGGATGCTGTGTGTTTCAAAACAAAACTGTGAACCAGCACACACAAATAAGTCCAAGCATGCCCCAAACACCTAATGAAGTTTTCTGAGAAAGCAAGAGGAAAAAAAAAAAAAGAAAATGCTTTTAATCTAGCCCCTGTGGATTTATGCCACTGATACAGTTCGGTTATATCATTAGAGTGTTTCTTAGAATAATATAGTGCTCTGTGTTTTGGGGTTTTGTTGTGGTTTTTATTTTCCTCTATGAGGAGAGGTATATCAATTTGGGTTGCAGAATCCTGTTTCTTGCTTGCTCTGCAGTTTTTGTTTGTTCCATGTACAGTGCAGAGTTTATACGTATAGAACATACAGATATATACAAAGTTACTCTTCTGGCTATTGATGTAGATAGAATAGCATACAGCTGAAGAAAACAAGTGCAGAAAAATTAGTGAGAAAAAAAATTACATGGTAATAGTAGCCATGAGAAATACTTATGTTTTTGTAGTAGCATTTGACTGCTTATTGTTTTCTTTAAATGTTTGTGCTTAGTCCAAATCGTATTGGTCTCTAACAGGTTAAGTGGTTGAAGGTCTCTAGTAGAAGTGTCTGTTGGAGTATACTAAAATCAGTTTTACAAAAAACTGCCAAGTTGGTTTTGTGGTGGTGGTTTTTTTAAATGAATGTGTACAATATAAATAAGTATTTTTGTGAAGCAATAGTTTGGTCCTTCTTGCATTAAGGATTGTGTGGTGCAAGGGTTTTTTTGGTTTATTGCTACTATATGGATACATTTTGAGGTTTTATTACTGTTCTTTCAGATTGTAAAGCAAATAATAAAAACTCAGATATGTGGGTACTTGATACAGCAACAAGAAAGCAAAAAAAATTATCAGTAGCTGGGAGAACTAGGATGATGCAAATATTTACTCTTAATCAACATCTGAGAGTAGACGTTTGTTTAGAAATGCACTTACAAATGGCTTTGTATAGTTTGACTGCTGCATTTTTAATGAACATTGTCAGCAGCCTTTCAGCCAGCAAAGGTATTTGTATCCCGACGAGATAAAAGCCAAGAAGTGACCAAAATGCTACATTAAATGAGTGACAGTATTATAAGGAAAATAATGGCAGTCAATTTATTTTTTTTTTCTTTTTTTTTTTTTTTTTTAACAGTATGAATCAGATGAACAAGAAAAAAGTGCATATCAAGAGTATGATAGTGACAGTGATGTACCTGAAGAGCTGAAAAGAGATTATGTGGATGAGCAGACAGGAGATGCCCCTGTGAAAAGGTAAGGAGACTGTGTGAGTCTTTGGTCTCATTTACATGCTTTTCATCTCAGTACTCTAATTAGTTCATTTTCTGTTTAATCTATACTCTACGACAATGGAATAATAATCAAATAATCTTTATGCTACCTGCACAGTTAGAAAGGCTCAGCACTTAAATCTCCAGAAGGGGAAGGAACATTAAACTGCTCATCATTATTGCAGAAAGAAACTCTGGAAAGCAAGATTTTGAAGGAGGATAAAGGCTCTCTGAAGCAGGTGGTGGAAAACTGATAAGCAAGTGTTAGATGTTAACTGAAGGTTCTTCTACAACTGCTGTTGTGCGTACGTGTAATTTCTGTTGTGTCACAAGCAGTTGTTTGCAGACAAATGGCTTGAGGCTTGGGCTTCTGCTTTTGCAGAACAAAAGTAAACTTTTACAGATTAAAAAAAAATTAAATTCTTCAATAGCGTGAAGGCAATCATTTGGAATTTTAAGTTCTCTTTTTCTTTAAGAATATACATATACACACACAGAGACATGAATATACATATTTTGATGAAAAGAAATATATATATATAAATATTTTATTTATATATATTCATATAAACAAAAGCCAACTCTGTAGCCTTTAAAAGGGTCTGAAATACAAATTTCTGTCTAGGACTCTGTACTACTTAGATGTCCATTCAGACTTTCTGAAGCAGGCTAACATTATTTGTATGTAGAGGACTGCAGGAGAACTAGAAGGTCATCACTTGGGTGAAAGCAGAGTAATGTTTTTCTACAAAATAAATCTTTTGGGATAAAATATTGTTAGCATGATTTCATAAGATAACCTCACATAAGCTACTTCATTTCAAAGAAGTGATGGAGATAATGATAAAAATTACTGAACTGGGACAAACCACAGTTATTGTCCCCAGCTTTGTGCTGTAAAATTGAAGCATTCTGAGTTTTTGGAAGAATATCGTTTTGAGGTATGGCAGCTGGCAGGAGGTTTCTCTTATAGAATCATAGAATATCTCAAGTTGGAAGGGATCCATAGGGATCATCAAGTCCAACTCCTTGCTTTTCGCAGGACTACAATTTATGAAAAATTTATTTATATATATGTCTTTTAAAAATTTATTTATTTATATATGTCTTTTTAGTTTCATCTTCCTCAAAATTGTTTCCATTTCCAGATAGTATTTTTCAGCTGTAGCTTACTAGTCTGCTCTGTTTTGTTGTGACTTGCATTGTTTTCATTTTCTTTACTTCATAAACTACGAACTTGAGTCAGAGTGGTTAAAATGATTGCTGAGGCAGAGGCCTGCAGAGCTCAAGCCTTGGACTACAACTCAGAAACTCCTTTCTTTAGCACAATTTTCTGTAATTTTATGTAAATTAGGCCAGGCTTTGCTCTTTAAATGTTAGAATCCTAACCCAGTTATGCTTTTGCATAAATAAAATACTGTGCTGGAAGACATACTGTCATGTGAAAGAAGGGGGAGGAAGGATTTCTTTCCTACTAAATTTTGTTTGTATGTCCTTGAATATAATAGGCAGTCACATATGGTGTATTTTGTTTTGTTTTCTTTAAAGTGTTTCTCGAGAAACTCTGAGGAGCAGAAAGAGATCAGATTATAACCTCAATAAAGTGAATGCACCTATCCTAACAAACACTACGCTGAACGTAATAAGGCTTGTTGGTACGTAGAAAAATTGTAGGTTTTTATATGTGTGTTTTATTTTAATGCAAACCTGTGGATTATAGCAAATATATTAAATGAATTTTAAGGCTTTTAAAAATATACCTAGTTGGGCTCTATTTCCAGTCTTTGTTAATAAAATAGAAATAAAGCACTAACCCAAAATATTTTTAATTAAGTAAGTAGACAAATTTGGTTATATGTTGTGAGTTATTTTTACTTTGACGATTAATCTGCATGCATATATTGATTTTAACCAATAATGGTGGTTTATTTGTCTAAAATATTGAATGCGTAAAAACAGCGGAGATAGAAAGGAAATAGATTGATGTTTTATGTTGCTAATGTGTCTTGGTGGATTAAATGCTTCATTTTAAAGTAGTATAGCTACAAAAGTAAGAACTTAAAAGATTATGGGGTTTTTGTCCTTTCGTTACTGAAATTCTCACACCCAGAATAACTACTTTTACTACATGGTAGACAACTAGAAGAAAAGTGCCCTCCCATACTGGTAATTTCAGTAATTGGAATGCAACCTAGTAATCCCCAGGGAGTTTAGGGAATCTCTGTCCTTGGAGGTGATCAAGACACGACTGGACAAGCCTCTGAGCAACCTCATCTCCTTAGACCCGCTCTGAGCAGGAGGTTGCACTAGATGACCTCTGGAGGTCCTTTCTAGCCAAAAGTTTTCTATGAAAACACTCCCCTTCAGTTCTAGGTGTAATGGGATTGACTTTTTGTGATTGTGACTTCCATTTGATTACCTAGATAATTGTATGATAGCAGTTTTCTGCTACTGACTTTCATTTTATTTATAGAGAATGGGAAGTAACTACCTAAATTTATCAGGTTAGGCAGAAGAGAGAGGAATTCTGTATGTGTTGTATTAATTAAGTTTGTCTTCAACGTTTATGTGCTGGAAATGATTGTGGTACTTCAGAGTAAGCTTTTAAAGAGACTACTCTGACACCTGGTTAGTACCTTTTGCTGTCTTAGAGGGCAGTGTATAAATCAGAAATTAATTTTCGAAACCTTTTTTTGCAGTTTTTTTTTCTTCTTGCAGTATCTACAGTATAGACCTGAAGTAAGAATTGAGATTATTCTGTCATAACTTTTCTGGTATTGATCTGTGAGTTAGGTTGGAGATATTTGTTTGCTACCTTCTAGAATAAGGTTTTGCTCTAAGAAAAGTTAGGATTGAATCCAGAAATCACACATGGCACTTTCATGCAAACCACTTGGTTTTACCGCAGCCTCTGCCCCTGCCCCCATGCCCTACCACAGTGTAAGAGTAGGTGGAGCTGTAGTTCTAGTTTTCCAGTTTTACATAAAGAGTCTTTATATTTGTGGATTCTGGCCATAACCCCAAACTTTAGCATTATTTGCAAAGCTCACATATATGCTTTTTCCCCCTTCTGGCACTACATTTAATTTTCAATATTTCTGCTATTGGGGGTGTGCTATATTGTCTCTGTAATGACTGATAATAACATTATTTGGAACATGGAATTGGAAAGGGACCTCCTGCAGCCCGTGCTACAGGAAGACGTGTCATTCAGTACTGCCTGTAAATATGCTTGTTTTGAGCTCCAGCTTAAGAATACTTCTGTTTTGTTGCCACCACTCTATCTAATAGGAATTCTGTTCCAGAAGCTTGTCAACTTCATGGTTAAAAAAAAAATAAAATTATCCACCTATTTTCTGCCCACTTGATCTTACACCAAAATAAACGTTTAAGTTTAACAGATCGTCTTGTTATTTGATGCATACTGCCCTGCTGTTTTTACAGAAAGCAATCCTATTTCTTCGGTCTTTGATTTGCTAAACTAAATGTGCCACGCTTTTTCATATCTTCTGTATTTATCCACCAGAAGCTTAAGTCCCCTACTTTCTTACCAGTTCTTTTTCTGCTTTTGTTATAGATTTATCAAAATCATGTGCAATACTTTGGATGAAATCTCACTGCATTGTGCCACTGTTTTAATGCAGCATTCTGGTCACATATTGCCTCCCTTTTTCGTCTCTTTGGATTCTCACAGCTTCCTTCTACTCGCAGTTCAGTCCATCTGTAACAAGCTTGTACAGCCACCAGGTCCTTCACTTCCCCAGTTTTTGAGCTGCTAGTTTATAGTAGAAAGATGCATGTTTTTAATTAATTGGTCCCTAAATGCATGGCTTTACATTTTGTACTACTGAATTTCATCCAATTTTTATTACAGTAGTCATCAAGGTCCTCCAGTTCCTCCTGTACATTATGTCAATCCTGTTCTGTTTTGATGGTGCCTCCTTATTTTTTTCCATTATCACACTCTTATTTTTGTGCCAGAGTCATTAATGAAAATATTGAAGAAGAGGCCGGTTGCTGCGAACTCCACTAGTAGCTTTTCCAGATACCTCCCTTTTCTACACACTTCATTCTGTCTTCTCTTTTATTAAGCCCTTACTCATTTGAAAAACTCTAGCTTCGGTTGTTTACTGTGCAATATTGTTAAATTAATACTTTGACTAAATCTTAATTTTGCCTCTGTCTTTCTGCTTCTGTCACTTCCGTACTTTATTCAAAACTTGATCTGAAGTCCTGCATCCTACAAATTAAAGCAGTGGATCAGTAGTTGCTTGGATGACTATTTTCCCTCTTCTCAAATATGTTTTTATTTGCTGTTTTCCAGTCGTAGTGGTACAGCCCATGCCTTGACTGCTTATTGCACGTACAGGTTATTACACTGATTACCAGACTGGTGATTTCACGGCCATTTTTATTTATGTCTCGATTCCTTTGCTTCTGTGACTTGACTGTTTTAAGGTCTTTTCCAGCTCATTCTCAGTGTGACCGAAAGCAGCCAGTTCAGTTATATTAGTCACCCTGTCCCCCTTCTCTTCATTTTTCTCACTTTCAGTATCGTTGTCCCCAGTGAAAACCAAGGCAAATTATTCATTCTTGCTTTTGGGCTGTCTTGTTTGTCTACAGTTTCTGTCCTGTCACGTCCCACTGGTTTCGTTTGCTTTTGTTAGTTTTCTGTAACTGGAAAACTCTGATTTTTACCATCTTTGGAAAATTTAGTTTTGGAAAGACTTTTGGTACTTCTAGCTCTTAATGTAACTTCATGAGTGAATAGGTCTGGTTTTTCGCCTTTGTCCTTGTCCTAGTCATTCTTTCCTTCTAGTTTCTTTGCAGTTTCTCATGTTTCTAATATGCAATGACCCCGCCTCACTTTCACCTTAGTTTGTATCTTTTTGGAGGAATGCCTACCATTTGATATCATAAATGAAACAGGTTTTTTTGCACCATGTTTCTGTTAGACGTAAACTGCATATTACACCTCTGCCACATAAGTTGAAAATGTCTTCGTCTTTTGTCATGACTTTTGGCCTTAGTGTACAGATATTTCATTCACTTCTTCCAGACAGCATCGCCAAGAGCATCAGAGACATTTCTTTTAACTGTGGGTTAATGCCTTGCAAAACAAGAAACACCTAAGATACCACCATTTAGCCGGACTATCTGATTTATTATTTTTTCTTCCCTTCTTGTCTCCCCTCTTGTCTCTTGAATCATCCCTATAAAACATGAAGATAAGCATGTTGTTGCTGGGCGGATTTGGCTGGGCGTGACACTAGGTTGTAGGAGGTCCAGGTTTGATCCAGTTCCCTGCATTATCCCCCTGCAGACAGGAATGCTGTGGAGCGTTGCCTATCTTTTACCAGCAGTCTCTGCTAATGCCCTGTAGGGCTCCAGCTTGTCTTGCACTGTCTCAGATTATTGGCTAGGAAAATGCCATGGTACTTAACACCAATTTCAAGGAGTGTATCTGAGATGGTTGTCTAGGATCCCTTCTTTATCAATGGAGAACCGTACATAACTCTAGAAGATGATTGAGTTTGTTGGCTGTCCCAGATGTCTTTGACTGCATGTCATCGTATAGATATCTTAGCACTTTTCTTCTGGAGCTGCTTGCCCTCTGCGCAGGAGATCGAGGCAACCAGTGTGGGCAAAGGGTCTAGTTTTTAGATAAAGTTGGACAAGTGAATCGCATATGCAAGACCAGTGATGTGGAGCCTCAAAAAATAAGCAAGGGCCTAATGTAGTACAGGGGACACTATAGATATGCCCTACCTACAGAAAGCCTGTACTCTTTCAAAGTTCTATTCCTTGAAAATAAGGCTCTGTTTTAGGAGACGTTTGTTTTGGTAGCAGTAATGTGAGTACTTAAGCAGTTTCTGTCCCGGCTACATTTTGTCACTGATATTCCTGCCTCCTGTGCATTGCATCAGCATGACTTTTGGCAGATCTAGATCAGCTCCCTGACCTTAGTTAAAAGCAATTCATAAAGGAAACTAGGTTTAAAAAGGGAAGTCTGGAGTGAGATGAAGATGCATGTGGTGGGTCGCACATCAGGTGCCCACCAAAGCTGCTCTATCACTCCCCCTCCTCAGCTGGACAGGGGAGAGAAAATATAACAAAAGTCTCATGGGTCAAGGTAAGGAGAGGCAAGATCACTCACCAATTACTGTCACAGGCAAAACAGACTTAACTTGGGGAAATTAGTTTAATTTATTACCAATCAAATTAGAGTAGGGTAAAGAGAAATCAAACCAAGTCTTGAAAACACTTTTCCCCCACCCCTCCCTTCTTCCCAGGCTCAACTTCACTCCCAATTTTCTCTACCTCCTCCCCGCCAGCAGCACAGGGGGACGGGGAATGGGGGTTGCGGTCAGTTCATCACACGTTGTCTCTGCCACTCCTCCCTCCCCAGGGGGAGGACTCCCCACACTCTTCCCCTTCTCCAGCGTGGGGGCCCTCCCACGGGAGACAGTCCCCCC